TTCATTGTATAACTTGCCAAGGAGAAAAGTGTGTGTGTGTGGAGCGGATTTAAGACAGTGAATGTCTGTGGTGTCTGAGTGAAATTAAGAACAATAAAATAACTATGAAAATCGACTGGAATTTCATAAGCAGCTAAACTATGACCATCTAGGGCATGCTGAATGAAAAGGACATGTCTAAAGTAGAACATGGTAAAATGAGGAATGTCCACACAGTCTGGCATGAAGCCAAGTGCATACTGAATTAGGTCACTGCTTTAAGTGTGAATGTTTCCCCTCTTTAGTAAAAGGTACTCATCCTTTGCAACAGGGAACTAAAACTGAATGCTAATACAATAAAAACAAATTTTAAAGTATTTTCAATTAGCGTGCTGGTCTGTTCCCTTGTACTTAGAGAATCAATGAGCTCTTTTGTAAGGAACAGAAACATTTCCATAGTTGAATATACATAAGGCCCTGGAAATGCAGAAAGAATAACAAGCGGTTGCTTCTGGAAAACTTACAAACCTTTAAGCGTTGTATAAGCCGTAGAGGTCTCATTCTTTGGAGATCATACAGAGTATTGCAAATAGAATTGTTTCGAGGAACTGAAAGTGAAATATCAGCACGTGCGATTTAAAGATTTGGAACATAAATACTGAAATGCTGATCGCAGGGATTGCTGCATGATTACTTTTTTTCCAGCTAATCTTACTGTTCTTTTTATAAACTTCAAAATGTACTATGTGACACTGAATTGATTTTTCCTTTTGTGATTCTTGGGATCTTGTGTGCTTTTGCTAATTCTGGAGTTTCACAGCCTGCTTTCTCTTGTAATCTTCTTCTACAGCATGGAAGTAGTTACCAGAATTCCTAAAATGGTGCTGTGCCAGACCTAATTCATATCAAATTTGGGTTGTAAATGTGCAAAACTATACTTTTCTGGAAAGAAAGGACAGTGAAATAGAGGGTCCGTAAACTCTTCTTTTCTGTTGGAATGAGGATTAAGATTCTTACTGGCTTCACTCACTCCTTGAAGGATGCAAGATGAAATCTGTGTCTGACTCTTTTATGATGACTCTTCTCAGCAGAAGTAATACTTGGGGGGGAAGATGTCCCAGTTGGCTCAGTCCTCACTTTAGCAAACTAACTTACCACTTCAGCTCTCCATGTGCAATTTAAAATTTTAATGTTAACGTAACTGGTTGCATAAACATTCCTTGCCTTTAAAGGCCACAGGGAAGCTGTAGTGGGAAAAATGGCTGTTTTTTATGGTGTTGCACGACAACTGTCAAAGATAAATAGGCAAGGCCTATCTCTGTGCAGAAAGGCTGTCTTGTTAATAAGATTGTCACTAGCTCACTAGTAAAAGGATTTCAACTAATGGGGGAATAATTAGAGCCTAGAAGGAAAAGAACCAGCGAACTCTCTAACAGCCCACCATATGCAGTTTCCATTGCTTCAGAAACTGCTTACTCTTTCTCTTGCCTAAACACCACTTAAGGCAGTGCTCCACAAAACAGCCCTCTAGTGTAAATAGGTAAAGTAACAGTAGGAAGGCTCAGAAATCTGCAGTTATTCATAATCTTTTATTCTTGTGCTGATGATGCAGTGCAAGCGGCAAGTCCTAGTGGCGGCATGCTGACTTTCTTAATCCATGCTTGCCATAATGGTGTACATTTGGCCACAGTTAAAGTTATTAAGGACAGAGTTGTTCTTTCATTGCCCCCTGCTATTGTCTGAGGGAATCTTAATCTCCTGGTACATTGTGTCCTCCTGACACCACATTAGGAAATCTGTTGTCACTTGCTTCTAAGGCATGAATGAGACCTAAAGAAACTTAGTGATTCAGCAAAGTTGAACACAGAGCAATTTACTGGTAGAGCAAGAACTGAATAAAGGCCTACTAGGCTAGTGTCCCAGCTTTAGGGGTGTCTGTCTATTGCTTAACAACAGTTACTGATTGTTTAAAGCCCATGGTGGTAGGAGATTGTGTGGCTTTAAGTTGGAGGTTCAGTGATAAGCTGAATCTGGCTGTGGTTTGCATTGCCCATTATCAAACTGTACTATGGTAGCCCAAAAGATCTCTTAAGACAGGTATAGCTAGAAGTCCTAGTTCCTGCTTTCTAGTATGTGCTTTCATTTTCTTTAATTAGCCTGTAAAAGTGAGGAGAAAGGTAAAGGAAAAACACAAAGCTCTCTTTGTCATGTCCTGCTGAGCTGCAAGACTCAGCCTTCTTTCCTATGCTGTCCCCAGTACCAAAAGCCTCTCTTCATAACTTAAGCTGATTTCTATACTGGTACAGTAGCTGTGTTTTGTATACAGTGATGCAAAAATGCTGCTGTTCTTCACAGCAGTAACAAGGCTGTGCGGCAAAAAGTAGTTGGGACTGGGTTTGTCAATATTTCATGCAAGTCAGGTAGTTTGATCATTTTTCAGTATGCCTTGACTGATGTAAGATATGCCAGCTTCTGCATGGAGTGGCTTTAGTAATTAATCTAGGTTTAAAGAAACATATGGTACTTTGTTATTAATCATGGATTCAACTCTGGTGGTCTAATAGAACAAGAATTCAGGAAGAAATGTGAAAAAAATATCATATAGGCAACTCAGTACTAGAGAAAGCTAGGGATGATATTATATAATTTCTGTGAACTGGTTTTATCCACATCTGGACCCTGGTCAATAGTCTGAGGATACATATGGTGTTGATCACTCCTTATAGGCATTTAGCTTGCATTTATATAATGTTGTGTTTGTGTTTGGACTTAAAAGGATGTCATCTAGAATTCAGTTGCTAAAACTGTTACTTATTTTGTACCAAAGTGTCCAGTAGCTTTAAATGAGTTCAAAAAGCTTCAGTGTCAGGTAACTATTGCCTTTAAGCTGCTGTATTAGGAATTTCTATATAATGTATCTAATTTATTTGTGAACAGGGTCATAGGCATGGACTTCAGCACTAGAAAAACTAGTAACTGCTTTAAGCAGTACTATAGACTTCAGCCGAACCACTCCAAGGTTTGCAGCTCCTGCAAAACTTAGCATGCATGCAAGCTTAGGATCAGCTGTTGCAGGCAATGGTGTTGGTGGTATGAATAAATTACTTAGTCTTTCAGGCCTTGTAATTGGAGCTTTCATGCAAATGAGGATGCTGAATATCATGATACCACTGATATGTGGTACCTGGTTCTCACTAAAGCAATATCCCAATGCTGGAAGCCAATGGGGAAGGGAGAAATGTCACAAGGATGTAATCGGGGAGAAACGTTGCAAGATGTTTGTTGTAAACACATGGAATGCATCATGGCACTGTGACTTATTTGCAAGGACAGAGGAAGAGGGGTTCGTGGCTGCTGGCGGTGTTAGATAACAATCTGTCCAACCCATATATAAGGAGTGTTGGACTGGCCAATTTTTTCCTAATTTTGTAACCATTCTGAAACTAAACTGAAGTTTTCCCCCAAGCAATAACTACACAACACAGTTGAAACGGATGCAGAGCTAATAGATCCCTGGGTAAATTTTAACGAGCTTCACGTATTTTCTACAAACAAGTTTTAAACAAAACTATTTTATTAACATCAGAAAGTAGACTAACATGCATTGAACTTACTTCTTAGCTCTTTAGGCTGGCATTGAAGAGGCCTATAAACTGTTTTGTAGACTATTGTTGCTGAGTAGGATTTTTTGGTATCCCACTCTTGCCGAACTGTGATCTTTTTCCCTGGTCTTTTCCTCCAAGCTCATTTGGTCAGTGGTGTAAGAGGGTGACCCATGCAAATGGTCAATGCCTCTTCATACTGGCCTACCCAAATCAAAATGTTGGTGAATGTGTAGTCTGAAGCTCTTTCGTCAATCAGGAACTAGGATTTGAATTTGAATTTCTGCCAAATTTGACCTATTCCGAAATGCTGTTTCTGTGAGCTTTGATGTTTAGATCTGCAGTACTTTATTCATGAATGAATAATTATTCCCTAAAAGATACTTACTTAAAGTAAAAGCAAATGGAAATGCAAGCTTCTGCTGCTTCAAAATAGTTCTTGGAATTTTTTGGTTTTGTTTTTGTTTAGGGGAGTAGGAAGCATAGGGGTTTTTACTGTTTTTTTTCCTCCCACAGAGGAAAACAACGACAACAACAAAAAAAGGAATGGAGGAGATAAAAGAAAAAAAACTTGATGAGACTAGAAGAACACTTACTGCTTTAGCTAGCTAAGTGAAAGTTGTATTTCATTAGACTGTCCATATTGCTGTTTTCCAGACACTATGTCAAAGGGAATCACTGACGGGCAATGCAATGGAAAAGAAGAATGTTTTTTCTTTCTCCTTTTCTCACCCCTTCCCCAGTGATCCTTTGCTCCATGGATTACAACTTTGTTCATGTGTTTTCCAAATGACGGGCTGCTTTGTAGCTCTAATATGCACCTTTCTTTTACTTTTAGGTTCTGTGTTCATTTTGCTGACTCAAACCGCAGATTCCAAGGAAAGGAGGGGAAAGTGGAATAAAATACTCAACTGCCAGAGGAAAAAACAGACCAACCAATGAAAATTACTGTTACTAAACTGTAGACTGCTCTCACTTACACATGGCGGGGGGGGGGAGGAATTGCTGTTCATTCAGACCTTATAAAATGACTTTTGCAGGCTTTCCTCACTGAACTTGAAAAAGGCTAAACCCCTTCAACTAGGATTGAATTAGGAAATGGAAATATGACTCCTTGCTGGTGTCTTCCATCTTCTTCCCCCTCTGCAGGGCTTTCTGTTTAGGGTAGGAAATCCTGAACAAATTGTATGGCGGCAACGAAGCTTGCAGTTGATGGTTATGGATGACATAGGAACTTCAAATTTATGTCTCTGCAATGACACCTGATTAAGGCAAAGGTTGAAAACAGCTCATCAGCTACTTTGTCAAAGCTTGTGATAACTATTGTGGTCATACTTGCTAAGATTTGAACACTAGGGTGATGTTCCCGGGAAGGCATGAGCAGATCAGTCGTCTTTTTGGATTGGAAACAGAAATAATATGAGAATGCCCAGAAGAGGCTTTGTAATTCAAGCCAGGACTCGTTGGCTATTAGTGGGACTTGCTTTACTATTCAGTTTAGTCTTGCTCATGTATTTGCTCGAATGTGCTCCACAAACAGATGGTAATGGATCTCTACCTGGTGTCATAGGTGAAAACATGGGTAAAGAATACTACCAAGCTCTCTTGCAGGAACAAGAGGAGCATTATCAAAACCGAGCTACCAGTCTGAAACGTCAGATTGCCCAGTTAAAGCAAGAGCTTCAGGAAATGAGTGATAAATTGAAATCCCTACAAGAAAAAAAGACCCCCAAGGTCAATGGTGTGAACTACCAGGGCACCAAAGAACAAGCATCCAATGATCTCCTAGAGTTTCTTCATTCCCAGATTGACAAAGCTGAGGTGAGCATGGGGGCCAAACTGCCTAGTGAATATGGCGTCATTCCTTTTGAAAGTTTTACATCCATGAAAGTATACCAGTTGGAGATGGGGCTTACTCGACATCCAGAAGAGAAACCTGTTAGAAAGGATAAACGAGATGAGTTGGTGGAAGTTATAGAGGCTGGCCTAGAAGTTATCAATAATCCAGATGAAGAAGATGGACAAGATGAAGATGATGGAGTAGGAGAGAAGCAGCTGTATAGTGAAAATGATTTCATAGAAGGTATGTTTATTACATGCTTTCCAGACAGTTAACAGAATGTCACAACAGGCGTTTAATGGTGTTTGTGTTTTCAGGGGTTTTACCTACTTGAATGTAGTCTTGAACAGTAATTACACAGTAAGAAACTTTATTTCTAATGATGAGAATATTACTGCTTCATTATGTTGTGTTTTGCAAAGGGAGCAAGAAATCCATTTCAGAAGAAGGGCTTACCACAAGAAGTGCACAGGGGAAGTTGTAACCACTTAAAATACTGAGGCATTCATAACTGATTTTAGCTGAAGTCAGTGTGACACAACTGCTTATGGTACTAAATAACTGAAAGACTTCATGTGAAACTGGTGGCAGTGGGAGGGAGAAATTGATTTATCTCTGTTGTTCCGGCATAATTAAGCTATTCAGTATGAAGCTACAGGGTTGGGTTTTTTTCTTCACTCATCTCTGTGCCACTTCTAGTTACTGTTCAGGCTTTTGACTCTTACAGAATTGGCACAGTCATATTGGAGGGAGAGCATTGGTAGGCTTCTGTGTTCTGATGAGCTGAAGAACTTGGTGTCCTGAATAGACCCTTCATGGTACACTAGTTAGGGGGTTTGCTAAGCTATGCAACCTTGAACTGTTCTCTTGTTCTGTATTCAGTTCTCTTTCAGTGCTTGTAAATTTATTTACAGAACTTATTACAAGAACAAAAATAGCATGTATGTTTTCAACATTTAGTGGCACCCTTAAAAGATGTGTTAGTGATAATTCCTATAGAAGTTAGCTTTCAAGGTACAGTGTAATGCTGATGGAGATAAGTATTACTAAAACCTGCCCTAGTACCTCTTTTTTGTATTTACAGAATTAAATACAGTTCATGCTGACATAAAAAAAAAAAACAAAAACAAAAAAAAAAAAAACACCAAAAGTTGGGCCATGTTATAAGAGCATTACTGTAAAAGGGATTCTGGATCTCAGCAGTACTGATGTCTGCACTATTAAGTAAACACATGCTGGAGAAAGGTACTGTTGGCCTTAAAATAATCAGTTCTTTCAGTCTAAGATGATGTAATTGGTCTGTAGCACAAAAAGTCTCTATTTTTAACAGCTACTGTGTTTAAAGTTTAATGCAAGTACTCTTCTTCTTTCCAGGAGGTAGGGTAGGGCATAGAATCCACTCAACTGTCTCGGTATAACACACCCAGCACAGTGTTAGGCTCTTAGTACAGTTTCATTTAAAACCATGTTATTTTTGGCTGGGAGCAGTCCTTCTTGCAGTCTTTTAATTGTTTTCTTTTTATATTTTATATTAAGTATGCAACTGCTTTTCCTTTACTCTTTTAAATACTGTTTATACTCTACTGGATTTTTTTTTTTTACCAGTACTGAAATAGTTGTTAATTTTTCTTAGTGTACTGCCTTTAATGACTGCAGACCTCCAGGAAGGCAAGGAGATGTAGGACCTTAGAAATGTACTTATACCTCTGCCTTTATTCACACCAATATATTGATAATTGGTTTTGGAAGTTGAACTACTTTCTTTTGTAAAGGCAGATTCTTCAAGTGTAGATTATAGGAACTGTAGAAAAAATATGCAGCACTTAAAAAAATAAAGTATTTTAATGCTGTAGCTCATATGAGTGTGTTAGCAACTAGCCATAGTGCGTTATCTCAGTGTCTTGTTTCAGACAGAAGTTGTGGGTTGTGTGGGTATTCTGTGTTTATGTGTATGTGAGAATACTGCTGGCTAATTTAGACACTGGGCCGGCACCACTTTTTTTTTCTTTATACTGTTACAAAACTTAGAGGTGAGAAATGGAACCAGCCACCAGTGGTACCTGCAGGTCCCTCGCCCTGCAGCCCTGTGACTGGGCTCTGACGCACTGGCTTGTTGATTTGTGCATCCTCGTTTGAGGCAAGTGTAGTTGGAAAGTTGATATCTTTCCATTTAGAAAATACTGCTGTCTTGAGCTATCATAAACTGGTGGGTTCAAGTTCTGTAGCAGACTCAGTGTGTCTACTGAAGTCACAACAGTGTTTATAAGTATCCTAGGAGCACTGCTGAACTGTTACTGGATTAGCATTGCTCATTTAGAGAAACAGTTTGTTGAAGTCGGCTTGAGTTAAAACAAATAGTTTGTCACTTAAGTTCTGTATCCCCTTCAATTGCTAACGATTATTTTGTAATAAGTGATTTAGGACTAAGACTAGAGTTTTATGCAGTTTGAAACAAGAGGCTGAGAAACTTAATACATGGATCACCTGGAGGGGGAGGGGCAAAAGAGAAAACTGATACTGTATTAGTTAATACATAGCCATCATATTTTAAGCTTGATATAGATAAACTGATTTTGCTTTTTTTTCTGACTTGCAGGAATTTTTTCTTGGAGCTAACATATATCTACCTACAAAAACTTAGCCACAAAACTGTGCCACAAGTATAAACTAAACTAGAAACAGGCATTTTTATTCTGGAAGTGTTCTAGCTTCCTACCTGAATAGGCTAACTTTTCATGTAGGTAAATGTTTGATTCCAGCTTTTTTCCTATATTTTGTGAGATACTAGACTAAACTTTGAGCTATGTAATCTTTTGTGGTGTGTACTTTGTTGTATTAGTAAATCCTTAGAGAATTTGGTGGGTGTTTAAATGAACTTAGAATCTTTTATCTTATGGATAATTTTACCTAATGGTATCTCTTCATCACCACTGAATGTCTGAAGTTCTTCCCCAGCATTTACATTGTCCTTGCACACTCAGTGGAATATCAGTGTCTTGATTTGTAAAAACATCAAATTTTTTTCTGACTGTATTTTGGAGTTTACCTATATTGGGGTCACGTGTCACAACAAAGACTAATGACATGAATTTAAACTTAATCTGCCTTTTCTATTTTATAAATAGACATTTCCCACATAAACTTTGCTGAAAACATACACTTAATTACTAATAATACATGGCAGTCTCAATAAACTGATTTTTATTACTCCAATACCACGTGGCCAAAAAACTTCAAAATACAGGCTGATGGGTGGTAACTTGCTTGTTGCTGCTCTGTTTTTTGCTCTGTGCCCTTGATTTAACTGTTCATGCAGCTTTTGTGCTGCATGATTCAGCCTCTGTGATCTCCACATGAAGATATTCTGCCTTCTACCAGTTGTGCAAGGAAGCTGTATCTGTGATAGGGAGCAACCTGTTCATGTGTTATCTAAACTGATGTTGGTTTTTTTAGTATTGCAAAACAAAGTAATGACCAAATGTGTTTTGGAGTTGTGGTTAGGTAGAGGTGCCACAGCCGTACCATGGCTATTTGCAGGCTTCGAGCAATAACGCCAAGGGAAAAAAAAAAATTTGCAAGTATGCATTCCAACTGTAAAGATGCCTTCTGAAAGTTCCAAATTCTTTTTTCACAAGGCTCAATTGGCTTGCTGTGCTGAAGAGAACCAGCAAGTTTATCAGCTCTGCAGCGCTCAGTTTGCTGCTCTTTTACCTTTTTAGCTTTGCTGCATTGTTACTTTTTTAAGCTTTGCTGCAACCCAGAATGAAACTTCCAGAATTCTAATATTAACAGAACAAAACCCTGACCTTAAAGTCTTGTTCTGCTGTTGCTGTTTGAGAAACACTTTGAAGTCTTTTTTTTTTTTTCTTAATGTTTCCATTAGATCTAAGTGTATGAGAAACAGGAGTACACTATTCCCCTTGGGTGAAGAGTATTCCTAGAGAGAGTAAAAGTTGCAATAGTACATATTTTCACAAATGGAGAGGTCTAGGACTACAAACGATGAACCTAGTTGCTGAATTGGGCATTCTAAGATAGTCCTGGAATAAAAATAGATTTCTTTGAGATCAGTGTTTGATAATATTGAGACACAGAGGATAAGTAAGATGGAAAGAGCATAATAGCATTACCTCTGTCCATCCCCTTTCTTCAGAAGCCTGTGAATTTAAGTCCTGAATAGCGATGCAAAACTCCGTGAGGAACCTTCATGGATATCTATGCCTTGCTCTGTGTAACTGGTTTATTTGGGTTACATTTATCAGTGTAACAGGTTTGTTTTATCAAGAGATTAAAAGCTTTTCCATTGGATAGACATTTAAAATTCGCGTTTGGAAAATAGAGGTATTAGCATATTTTCAGAAGCTACTTAGCAATTAGTTAATCTCAATGAGGGTCTTATTGAACTTTGGTGCTGCTGTTTGAGTGCACTTCTCTTGCTTCTGTGCTTCCAGTTGGAACTGGGCAAAGTACAGAAACTATCTTTATCTTTAGGTCTGAATCTCAAGGGAAGATTCCCCACCCAAAATACATCCTTGGCATGTAAAAATTGTTTATCCCAATGCTGCAAGCTCAAAGTCAAAACTTTTCTAGAGTCCTTGCCATCTGTAGAACAGTGTGAGCTGTTTGTCATGCAAACACTCCCTTTACTGTCCTGCATAAGACCAGAAACTGCCCAGTGTCCTGGGAACAGAGAATTTTAATACATGATTAAAAAAAAAAAAAGGGACATATGTCTTTAATTCCATAGACCAAACACTTTCTTGGTAGTTGTAAAACAAGCAATAGTAGTTAGTGCAATAGAAGAACAGCTTTTTGGTTCTTCATAGTAATTGATCCCCAGTATTCCTAGGATTTAATTTGTTTGGTGAGAAACAGAACTTCTGGAAAGGGAGTAAAGCTTCATTGACCAGGAATAACACCTGTTAAATTGTTTCTGATGCTTTTTACCTCTTTGCTTATAGAGCTGTATTTTGGATGGCAGCCAGCAGTGAGATGGCAGTGAGATAGGAGGTTTTATTACACAAGTCAGTCCCAAGTGTTAAAAACCTGAATACACTAAGAAGTAAAACAGATGTGAGTTCTTTTTCTGGCTGTTATCAATTCTGGCTTCTGCGTATAGGAGCTTTAATCCCATAAAACTATTCAAATTAGTAGATTACCTGTGAGGTTAGCTCATAGCAAGGAGAATAACTCAAGGAGCACATATTTACTAATTAAAAGAAATATGGTGCTGGTAGGATGTTGAGATTTGAAAGTTTGGAATCTTACAATCCAGCAATTGAATGTTGGCAAGGTACTACTCAAATTCGGACTTGTGTCTTAAGGTCTTTATGAAGTTACAGCAGCGGTTTTTTTAAAGTTAATCTGGAAATTTTTATTCTGTACTACAGTCTTCTGTTGCAGACATCTAAGCTTATTCTTTGAAGCTATTGGCAACTATAATATGCTTTTTAAAAACTTCACTTACATTGCAAATGGTTATTTTCATCTGTAAACAGCTATTGGAGACTAGAGAAAGGAATATAATAGACAATACTGATTGTTAATTTATGCAGGACTACTGGTACAAAGTATTTACTGCATACTGCATGAAACATGGTGTGCAAACACCGTGGTGCATCAGCTGCTCCTATGATCAAGAACCTACAGTGTTGGACTCTGCAACACAAAGGGTTGGAGTGGAAAAGAATCTTTTAAGATCTTCTGCTTCTAAGAGTCAACACTGTGGATTTTCATTGTTTGAAACACCCTTTTCATTACTTGTAGTTAATACTGATTTGAAACTGTCATGCTTTGTCTGAGCATTAAATGTGATATTTTATGCAGCTCTGCTCACAAAGGAGTAAATGTGGTTTTCTGTCTCTTAAAGGAGTGCATTGCAAAACTTTGTTCCCAGGTAAAAAGCATTTAAGTTGAAAGGTTAGGTTCAGTCACTGCTGACTTCCAATGTGGTGGCACCAGCTTGTTCTGCTACACCCTGTCTCCCACAGACCCTGTGTGGTGGTCATCCACTTTTCCCGTTGGGTCGAGTCTGCTGGTGCACATGCTCACCTGCAAGAAAGAGTTCATTGCATAGCTGAATATTGGAGGGCAATAGGGAGCTTGCTGTAAAAGAGAGGCTGTTGGGCAGATACAGGACAGGGGCAGGAGGAGGGAACATCAGTGAATGAAACTGGGTTTGGTTTGGGGAGGGGGGCTGGAGCAGAGGAATCTGTAGGAAGTTAGGTACATCTAGGGAGAGAACTCTATAAAGGAAGCCTAGGGTATAGAGGTAAAAAGCTAAGGCAAGGTGGTGTACGCATGCCTTTGCTGCTTGTATTGCGTAAGAAGGTAACAGGAGGAAGGGAACATGGGGGAATATTTGCCTGGGGATAGGGAGAGGAGCAAAGCTGTAAGATCACTTCTTTGTAGTTCCTGAGATACACAGACAAAACCAAGCTGCTCTTAAGTTTGAGGGCTGCTCCCTTCCCATACCTTGACCCCTCATGATTTTAGTTGCAAAAAAGACAATAACAACAAAAAGGACAGAATTGGTACTGAGCACAAAAGAACACCCTTTGTGTGGGAGCGTAGCTCACTGAAAACAGGCATGGAATGCTAGAGGGCCTGCACAGGGAAAACTCTGTTGAACAGTTTGTCTAAACTAATATAGTAGGCCTCAAGGACGCTTCGGCCTTGAGGGTCAGAATAGAAGAATTAGAAGCTAACATCCGTATGAGGCGGAACGCATTAGTATTAATAGTAAAGTGATAGGTAGAAGCAGATGACTGATGTATGTATAGCACAATTGGAGTTTATGAAAAACTGCAAGTCATGATGACTTTGGAAAATTATGCTATATAAGAAAGTGCATCTGCACAATAAAACGAGTTTCCTGATATAACTCATATTGAGTCTTTTGTGGATTCTCCAACTCCCGTCTCCGCACCTTTGTGTCACCAGAACAGTTCATCTATGTACCTTCTTGCTGGGTGGGAGGCTGGGAGATGATTTCAGCTGCTCTGGAGGCTGGCTTGCAGAAGAGGCAGTTCAGGCCTGCCAAGTGAATGAAAATACACTGTTTGCATGGTGTAAAGGCAGATCTGTTCATCACGCTTGGGAATGTGCAGCTGTTTATAACTTTCTCAATGGTCTGTGTGGCCAGCTCAACTGAAAGTTGTTTGGTTCATACTGTAGCTTTAATTTCTTCCCTATAATGTACCTTTTCCTTGTGGGTGAGAGAGGAGAACAGAGATGGGATGAACAAAGCACAGTCTTGTTGGAGGGTTTCTGCTGTCATCATTTCTTACTCTCAGGTTAGTATAGATTAACAATGCACAGCTCAGTTCAGTCAAAGCTACGGATGAGTCTTGGTCTTTTCCTTTGTAGTGTAAAATTAGAGAGGGTGTTTGCTTAACTTGCTTCCTTGATGGTCCTTAAATGAAAGGACCATGTTCTGAATTGGATAGATTTTCCTACCCATTGTGAGTAAAATATCTCTAAGTAGGTAATCCTCTTTATAGAAGACTGGTATTGTTTTCTCAGTGTTACAGCTATGTAGAAAACGTCTTCTGCCTATATCCTTAGAGGACCATGGCTATTGTAAAATACCACTGTCTTTATTTATTGGATAGATAGGACTGTAGCTAGTGGTCTTCGGTGAAAACAATTTTAAAGCATTCCAGTATTTATCACACAAATATTTTTTTTTTTTAGATATCGCATTTCAGATTTTGCAGGCTTTGTTAAGTGAGTTACTGTGTCATTTGTTCTGCCCACAGCTTGTGTTGTGTAGATTGCTGGCCAGATGATCTTAGCTCTTACTGTGGACTAGCTCAGGGGAAGATCCTTACTGAAGAGCTTAAGAGCAGGCAGTATTATTTCAGCCACCCTTTTCCATAGCAAACAGTTGAATTCCCTCTTTGTTGGGAAGACCCAATTCTAATTCTGCCTGAGAAGTCTATGTAGGACCATAAAACCTGTTGTGGTCTCTAAGAAGCAGGGGAGGCTGGAGTTTGTTTCGGATTGTTTCTCAGATCTGGTCTAAGAGTAGGAGGGTGATTGTGATTGGTGATGGTTTGTGGATGTGTGTGTTTGTTTTTAGGAAAAACACAGAAGCTTTGCCCCCAAAGCTTTATTTTTCATTTTGTTATAGTTCTTAGGAAAAACAGTGTTTCTGAAATACAATTGCTGGGATGTTTGACTTTACAAATTACTTGTGTGACTTATTCTTCAGGTTACTATCGTACAGAGAGAGATAAGGGGACACAGTATGAGCTGTTTTATAAGAAGATGGATGGCATGGAATACAGGCATGTCACCTTGTTCCGGCCTTTTGGACCCCTCATGAAAGTGAAGAGTGAAACGGTCGATATTTCTAGATCAATCATTAACATTATTGTCCCTCTTGCTGGAAGAACTGAGGCATTTGCACAATTTATGCAAAACTTTAGGTAGGTGCGTGAAATTACATAGTGAGCTGTATTGCTGATTTTCAGTATTTTGCTTCCTTTTCAAAATTAATTTCTGCTCTGGTGGGTTTGTGACAGAACTAATGATTCCAACATTGTGTGCAACTGCCCTGGAATGTTTGTAATTGAACCTATTGTGTGGAGAAAATATTCCTTCTAGAAGGATTTAAGAAATTCTCAAATTGCACCAAGCACCCTCTAGACTGAATGCCAGGGTCGTTGTGAACCTGGACACTGATGATCTGGTACATAACTTCTATATTTACATCAGCTTTTGAGTTCTTGTTTATAAAATAAGATGTTGAAATGAAACACACAGTATTGGAACCTTCTGATTCAAATGGGAAAGATGAGGAAAGAAAAGGGAAAACATCTTTCCTTGTTTTCTTTAGAAGCTAGTTGAAGTCTGACCAGAATACTTAAATCTGCTAATACTTTAAAATGCAATAGCTTTTAAGCACCTGAAGCTTCTGTAGCATTGCAATTACTAGTATCAGCTTTTCTTTGTGCTTACAGGGATGTGTGTATTCATCAGGATAAGCGTGTTCACCTAACAGTGGTGTATTTTGGACAAGATGGGCTATCAGAAGTAAAAAGCATCCTAGAATCTGTATCTGGGTAAGTATGTTAATCCAATGTCGGTCAATACAAACAGTATTGATTGGCATTTGAAATAGTTTTTAAAAAGAAGTAAATAATAAAAAGAGTAAGTTTATAGTCCATTACAGATTAATTGGAATCATAAGCTTTATTTACTGTTCACTATTTTTTTGGTTACAACTTAAGTTGCAAAAGTCTCCTGAAGACTACTAAAAATCAAGTTATAGGCTAAAAAAGACTAACAGCAGTGGCTTTGAGGTTTCTATCTGACAATGCAAAAAAACAATAGAGGTGAATTTTGCAGTGAATATTCAGTCGTACTAACAGGTCAATCAGAGTTAAAGTTCTTTGGAACTAGGATGTACATTTTGATAGTTCTTTCAGTGGAGAATCAGTTTTATTTGATGATAAGGAAATGTCAAAGTAGGCTTGTAGGCTGCTGAGTCTGAGAAGCTAAGCTTTGCTGTCTGTCCTCTAGGTACGGGGTAACTGCGTCCATACCTGGGCTATAAAACAACTTTAAACACTGTTTCATCGTGGCTGTCTGAGCAAATAGCATTACGGTAGTATGGGGTGTAAAATTCTGAAAAGTTGCCTTTATTTCGTCCTAAGGGATGGGACAGGTATCCGTAACCCTGTAGCGAAGGGGCACCTTCCCTGCCTGAGCTTTTGTGCTCGTCCCTGAGCTGGGAGCCTGTTACCCTTGTTAGCCAAGAATAAGCTGGCCTCTCCTGTAATCTCTGTCTTGCGACGCTGGCCAAGGCTCTGCTTGATGAAGTGTGAGGCATAGGCTGTTGTGTTGATGGCTTAAAATGTGACAGCAAGTTGGCCTGGTGTGGACACCTTCTAGGAAGGAAGGAGTGCTTCTGCCTTCCTCCTGCACAGCCTCCCTGGCACCTAGCTTGCCAAGTGCCAGCCGCCTCTGTTTCTGAGGCCCCTCTGCTGCCTGCCATGCTTCCTGCACCATGTCCTCTTCTCACAGCATTCAGTCAGATTCAGTGCTGCAAACTCATTGGGCATTTATCTGGTTCTTTTGGTGCAACTGTTGAGTATCTTCACTCTGTTCTCTGCAAGCATTGCCCTCTGAAGCGTCTCTAAAGCAGACACTTAACTTTGCTTGAAGATATTCCCTGGGTGTATTTCCAGTCTCCTTTTGCTACTCCTTCCCTCTTCTGTGATGAGTACAGACATGTGTGCTACTGGTATGAAATAGCGAGGAGAAGCAAACTGACTGGGTTATGGTGGCATCACCACACAGCTGGCCTTTTGCCTCGTGAGTTTGGTGATGCCAGAACTCTGGCTTTCTTTCTGCTTGCCCTCCTCTTGTATGTAGTGAAGCAGAGATATTGCTCTATTAGTCAAGACTTCTTAGTTTATGGGTACAAATTTTAGATGTCATCGTCATTTTAGAGAACACTTTAATTCACATCAGTTGCCAAAAGGCCTTTTTAATCTGTCTCGTTAAATACAGAGTGAAGTTATGAAGTAAGACTCAGGTCCATCTTTTTACAATGTCTGGACTCTGACATTTAAAATAGGCAACTAAGTGGAACAGATATTTTTTTCTCATCTTGATGATATAACTGTTTTTTTAAAAATATCCAGAATGAAATAACTGTAAAATGCTGAAAAAGTATAAATGGTCCCTCCTGGTCCCCACCCTGGATTTATTTTGGGTTTGGCTCTATTTTTCTTCTAGAGAAACTAACTTCCACAATTACACGCTTGTCTCTCTGAATGAGGAATTTAACCGAGGCCGGGGACTTGACATGGGTGCCAGAGCCTGGGAAAAGGGCGAGGTCCTGATGTTCTTCTGTGATGTTGATGTTTATTTCACAGCCGAGTTCCTCAACAGTTGTCGCTTAAATGCTGAGCCTGGTATGTGCCTTTACAGTTGCTGTAAGGGATTCTTGTCATCTTGTTTGGCTTAAACTGGCCTATGTTGAGCATATAGAAAACTAACTTGAGTAGTGGAGTATATTCAATGCCATGCAGCTAGGAAAATGAAAAATACTCTGTGCGCAAAAGACAATAGTACTTAGACTAAGAAATAACTTTTGCCTTAGTGTAGCTTGTTTTAAGAACATGCTATCTTTTTTGGACAATAAGTACAATTTTCAAATTTTCTTAAGATTTCACTGTCTAAAAAAAAGCTGGACAGTTTAATTGCTTTAACAATTAGACTGCCTGTAAATTTGTATAACAAAACTCAGTGTAGCACTTACAGAGGAAGATGATTTTTGTTATACTGAAATCTCTAACAAGTTTGGTTTTTGTCTTCTCATGCTTGTATGGCCAAGACACATCACATATGAGTGGAGAGCTACAGAATGTGCTCCTTACAGAGACAGCACTAATGTTCCACGTTTACATCCCAAGCTCTGAAATTTTATGACCCTTTTCCTCAACTTTGTATGAAGCTTGTTTGTTCTACAAGCTTCTGCCAAGAAGGATAAAGCTTTCTTGAGTTAACAAGTGTGTTAGTTAAGACCTTCTACTGTCAAATGTTTGGGTTCTTTTTTTAATGCTTACTCTTATTCCAGATTTGTGGCAGCCAGAAACCATTTTCTCCAAATGTCAATTTGGAATGAATAGATTCTTTTTCTTCACATAATAAACAGGCAAGGGAATCTGCTATAAGCCAGATATTTGGGTTCTATTTCTTGCTTTTTCTTTCATTGCTGTCTGTCTCTGTACTTCACAAAATGAGTTGTATAAATAATTGGAAAGACTTTGGAGAGTCTTGTGAGCTTTCACAAGGAGGGGAGTTTGAGAGACTGCTTGACAATTCATACTGACAGTTATCACCTTTGCTTCAAGTGAGATCTGAAAATGCTGCTCACACGTTCAGAGTTCATGCCCAAATCAGGGTACTGAGTATTCTCGTGGGCTGTCGTCAATACCTTTGCAGGACCGCAATGCCACAGACCCTTGAAAAATAATTATCTGGCTTCTGTAATGGGCATAGAACTGGTGTCACAGCATAGTCAGGATACTCATGATGGTTAATGCCCTTACAGGACATCCTGGATGTACATGCTTTTAAATGCTTGTGGAAAGAGGCAAAACTCATAAAACTCAAGCTGTGCAAAGTGTTACTTAGACTTGGTTACTTTTTAGCTTTACCACATACCATTATTGCAGGGATTTTTCACTGTCATCTAATGTGACACTCTGACATATTTTATATATATATAACATTCTATATGTATGTAAGTAAGTATAACTATATATAAATTAATATCTACAGAGTATCTCTAAATATGTGTATGTATTTTTTTTTTTTAGTCCTGTGGGCTCTGCCTACTAGATGTTATGGGCTACCTAAATGGGAAATCCTAGCAGTTAGACCTTATATTTATTTGTTTTCACGAGATGGCTAATAGCTAATATTTTACATAAAGAGAATATTTGTAGTTTCCTCTTGCCTTCAGAAAGTATGCCAACAGTAACACTTACCTTTTGACTTCCAGGGAAAAAGGTTTTTTATCCTGTGGTGTTCAGCCTTTATAATCCTGCTATTGTCTATGCTAACCAAGATATACCACCCCCTGTGGAGCAACAATTGGTAAGCAGCATGATCTATTCTGGATAGAATTAGTTGTGCTCTGTATTAAAACAAAAGTAAGTGTAACTTTAGACTTTGTCAGGTATATCTTATGTATTGCCAAACGTCATATCTAAACACTTTTCTCCACTATGGGCGAAGCACTTGGAAGAAAAGCTTATCAAACGGTATAAAACTCATTCTTGGATAAACTTGGAGTTATAACTAGACTAAAAAAAAAAAAAAAAGTGATTTTAATCAAATGATGTGGGTAGTTCTGATCTATTGCTTAATTCTGGCTTGGAAAGTCAATATTAGTGGCATAACATGGCAGCAACTTTTGTCTTATGTTCCAGCAAAGAAAGAAGTGGTGGAAGGAAAAGAACTGTGAATGGTGCTTGATAAGCTTCCCTCAGTATCGACTCTCTGCTACCTACCAAATGGTAGTTGCAGGAAGTGTGCCATGTAACTTGAGGTGGGCTAAGATGTTTAGTCAGTTGCTTTTTTCGTGCTGTCGACAGCTGTACTCTGTGCAGATGTATTTCTTTACCTTTGCCATACAACATCTGCCAGAACGATGGGCTGTTAACTGCTAATTTCATCTTGCTTTTGAAGTGAGAAACACTGCTTCTGGGGCAGCTTGTAGTCAAAATAATAAACAAACCCCACAAACATTTAAGAGAATATGTTTAAGGATAATTTGGGGCTCAGCAGAAATAAGCAGATCTTTGTTGCCTGAAGATGCAGTGGCCATGGTCAATGTCCAGCCTGACTCTTAAGAGTCTGCATAAATGAAATTGGGTTTTGCAGCTGAGGTAGACAGGTTTGGAGGAGAGAAAGAGTGCAACATAGCCTTACTAAAGAAAAGAAAACATAATAGCTCTCATCCCACACATTGTTTTCAAGTATCCTACTGAAAGTAGGAGGGAAACTTTTGCATATGGCCTCAGGTGGTCACAGCTGAGAGAGAGGAGTGAGCTCCTGCCTGACAACTCTGCTGTTTACCTTTTTAACAACTTTGATTTGCTGACTTCAATCGCGAAACTTACTTTTCTTGTCATATCAGAAGAATAAGAGACAAATGTAGCTTTAGAAACAGAGTAGGCATTGGAATATCAGGAACAGATGATTTGGCAATAGACTACCAAAAAATTTACTACTTGGTCTGAGCAGATATATAGAAAATAGAGGTGGTGTGGCAGAAAGGTAAATGTGGAAACTGCAATGAGAGTTAAGTGATATCAGATGGCAAAGGGTGAAGTGAGCAGCTAGTAACTAGGAAGCCCACATCTGTGCATGACACAGAAATACTAAAAGAGTTATGTGCTGTATCCTGCACTGAGCAAATGGTTGGAAGAGCTTAACTTTATAGAAAGCCAAGCCAGTACCTCCTTCAATGTATTTTGCATTTTGAAATTATATTGGTTTAAAATTGCAGGTACACAAGAAGGATTCTGGCTTCTGGCGGGATTTTGGCTTTGGCATGACTTGTCAATATCGGACAGACTTTCTGAGTGTTGGTAAGATGAAACTGTAAAAAAAAAAAAAAAACAAAAAACAAACAAACAAAAAAAAACCACCACCACCCCCCCAAAAAAAAACACCCCAAAAAAACCCAAAACAAAAACCAAACCACCTGCATGTTTAAAAATTGATTCTCTGTTCTTATCTAACAACAGGAGAGTAATACATTTATTTCTTCTGTTATTTTCCCAAGCCCTGCCGTTAGACTTTCTGGACAAGTTTGACCAATGAGATAAATAAGTTTTTCTAGATTTTCACATCTGATCTGACGAGTGTAAAAAGTTACAATATTTTTAGTAGCAACATTTCACTGTAGAGCTTCTAAAACTGTTTCATTTTTGGTACTTTGACTGATGCAAATTAAAGAAACACATCCCTCAAGTAAACAAGAAGCATTCAAATGTGGTTGCATATAGTTGTGCTGTGGCACCCTCTCGTGGCATGCTGTTAAAACTGAGAACAGCTTGGTGTGTTTAAATTTGGAAGACTGTCTTGAAGATAATCTGCCGTTAACAGTGTGATGATCCAGCCCTATGTGCTGTATAATGGTTTGAATGCAGGCTGATTTCTACTAGCAGTCATATGGCCGTGTGTATGCTAAATGGCTAAATGAAGACTTAATAATTCTAGAGTTTTGAAATAGTGTGTGAGTCTGGGTCTATTTTCACTATGGTCCTGGAAAGGCAAGAGAACTTAAAATGGTGGAACAAGTTCCTTTCCTTAATCCAGCTTTTTGAGTTGTGACCTATGGAGTAATTGCTGGCATTTTTAAAGAGGGCTTTTCATGTGGTGCATGACTGTTTCATTTTCCAGCTGCTAAAATCCTTTATGATTGCTAAAAATAACCCAAAAGGACGTCCAGTGAGGTTTGCCTACAGTTTTCTGCAGCTGTCACATTGGGATGTCATGCATAATGTGATTTGGATAGCCTGTTCTAAGAGACTTTCTGAAGCCAGCAGTGCATGATTGGTGTCCTGGGCAGTTTCTACCACAAAGGATATGGTATGCTTGCAGCTCCTTTCCATCAATTTGGCATGTTTTGGCATGGAGTACTTAAAGTTAAATTGCTCCAGAATTTCTACTGTGTCGTACCAGATTTGGTAACAGTTGCACGAGGAGTGTTGCTCCTTTTGCCTTACATCCAGCCTGTGTGCCAAAATAACTTTTTCTGATATTGTTTTTATAGGGGGTTTTGACCTGGAAGTGAAAGGCTGGGGTGGTGAGGATGTTCACCTTTACAGAAAGTACTTGCACGGTGACCTTATTGTGATCAGGACACCAGTCCCTGGTCTCTTTCACCTCTGGCATGAGAAACATTGTGCAGACGAACTCACTCCAGAGCAGTATCGCATGTGTATCCAGTCCAAAGCCATGAACGAGGCTTCTCACTCACACCTTGGGATGCTGGTCTTCAGGGAGGAGATCGAGACTCACCTCCGTAAGCAGGCTTACAGGACTAACAGCGAAGCAGTGGGTTAAATGTCACTGCCGTGACATTTGATGACTTCAAATTCACAATGAGCCAGCGTCATTTTACAGCCTTAATTCAGCTTAAAAATATAGTGCCTCTCTTTTTCAGTGAAGAAGAGTTTAGAGGGTTTGTGCTTCTTGTATTTGTTTTCAGAGTAATTCTTTGACTGATATGCTATTACTTACATATCTTGCAATTTCAAGCACCTCAAATTGGAAAGCATATGTAATTCAAGGAAAGTGTCTTCAGTATAGATTGGAAAAATCTGTGGAATGTGCAACTCAACAATTTTCCACGTGGTACATCTCAATTCTTATATTTGCATTATTTTAAGAATTAAATTAAATAATCTTTTGTGTTGTCTTGAGTATTTTCAATCTGTATGGCTCACTGCACTGTGACTTTAGAAGGATATATTTACACTGCATTGTAGAAACAAGACAAAGGTGTGAAAAAGCATCTCACCATGAAAGGTATCTGGGACGTGCTGACTGGTACGCCAGCTGTTCAGGTTGCTGATTTCACAGCAAGAGATTGGTGCCGCATTTGCTGTATTAAGAGACATTCATATGGTTGAATATAGAATAATTCATGTGAAGGGGAAGGAAAATTAAAATCTTCTTAAGCTGAATTTTAGAACATATAATGTTATTTCACACTGCAAAAGAGATACCACCTTCTTATCTCAATGATGGATCAGACAAGTTTGGAATGTTCCAGTTGGGTGTTTCTGGGTCTGGTCTTTTCCCACAGTAGATGCCGCATCACAGAATCCCTTCTATAAACTGAGCTATGCTATTAAACTCATTTGTTTAAAGATTATTTTTTTTTTTTGGCCCCACTCCTCCTTATTCAAAGGCCCTGCCTGCACATCTTGTCCTGTAAGTTGAGGAACCATCTTTTCATTCCCATATAAATTTATTAGATGCCCATTTGCTATTATGCCAATATTGTCCTTTTGCTTTCTTTTTCTGGCATTTTCCTGACATGTTTTTGGAAGGCAGTTATATACCCTTAGCTGTTTCAGTGACTGAAAAAGCAAGTGGTATTACAGTCTTTCTTCATACAATGCTCTCCATTCCACTGATTATCCTAGTAGCCTTATTGTTCAGTTTTTCAGTTTGAGGGAGTTTTAGGGTTTCTGGTGTTTTTTCTCTGGAGTTTTTTATTTGGTTGGTTTTTTTGAGCATGTGTAAGCAGAATTATCCTGTGGTCTCATTAGTGCCTTGTACAATGGCACTACTACTTTGCTACTTCCCTTTTGAGTATTTTTGGATGCATAAACAGTTTAAATGCAGGCAGGTCATTTTTCTCCATGTTGTCTTATATGCTACCATATGGCATGCCTCATTTTTAATACATTTGTTTGTAGAATGAGTGCTGAGAATGCTAATTCAGTGATTAAACCATTTGCATGGTCTCTACTGAATTTAGAAATTAGATGAAACTCCTTCTCAAACCAGGTAATTAAGATCTGTTTATGAATTCAGTTTGCTTCAAGAATTCTGAAGGCAAGTAAAGATTTAAATGGTTGATATCTGAATAGCAGATATGCTGTGCAAATAGTTCTGGGCACTGGTCCTTTTTATATGTACATAAAATTTGCCTTTATGTAACTTATTGTCGAGAACAGTGTACTGTATTGTACTTAGACTGGAGAGAATGCATTGCAGGACTTGCAGTTGATATTCTCAATATAATAAATGGAATTTCTGCATTTTAGAAATTGTTTTCACCTGTTTTTTTTAAATTGGTTTTTACGATATTTACAGGGCAGATGACATGCTAGATTCAAGTAATAATATTTGCAGCCGGAAGTTCAACCAGCTCATTTTTGCATCTCAAGTGACTCTCTATCCAGACCAGATACAAAAGTGCAGAGTTAGTTCCTCAGACAACTAAAGCTTATACCAGATGTTAGTCTAAGTTTAAGATATCTTGATGGCTCCTAACAAAAATTATGAGGTACTAGTGAGGAAAAGATTAAATACATAGGCATCATGGTTTGGAGTAAAGATGTAAGTGGGACCAGCTACTGAGACTCCAGCCCTTAAAACTTCAGGTACTACTGCTGTCCTGGCTCTGCTGCACAACAATGAGTATCAAAAATGCCTCTCACTGACACCATCACTGCTTGGCATGTACTGGCTTTGATACTGAGGTAGTGCAAGGTGTTAAGCATTGCTGCAGCTCAGCTCTTATCACTCAGCTGCAACCCTGGAAGGATGCGGTTGTCCTGTTTTCCATGTTTTTGGAAACACAGCAGACTCCTGATGCTGATAGCCAGATCTCTTGTCTTCTGCTATTTTCCACTGGGTGGGTGTGCTTATCAACAATGATGAGGAAGGAGAACAATATCATCTGTGAGATCAAAAATGGTCAATGGTGTCAATGCTGGAAGGAAATCAAGGAAGTCTTGAGTCAACAGGAACCACTTTGGAAAACTTCCATTCCTCATCCCAAAATGTGGAAGTGAATGCACTGGAGTTAAAAGGAAGCCAGAACCCTTAGAGATAGTTAATGTCAGGGTTGGTTATTGACAGAAGTAGTCCAAATGACTGATTATTTGAGGACTTCTGAACTTTCAGAGGCCCTTGCAGGCCTGGTCTTTTTGTTGTCTTAGTTTGGCTCCCTGCAGTAACTGCCTGTGTAAGAACGTGCTGTCATGGCACACATCAGCTGGCAGCTTACTGGGCGTGTAGGCAACCGTCACCTATTGCATTCGTTGCAAAAGCCAGAGATACTGGTACGGGCTGTGTGTTAAGTCAATGCAAGGTACTTGCAGCCCAATGGTAGTAACAGGAATAATTTTAAGCAGGGAATGCATTTTGTTGCTATGTGGTACTGGATTTGGTATACACACCTCATCATGTGCATCTGTGGGGAAGATGGTGTTTTTGCTAACAATCTGTAGAGCATTTACAGAGGGAAGATACTTGGTTCTAATAGAGCTTTACGGGTTGTGGGGTAGCTTACTAGCAACTTTGACATCAGAAATTAGATCAGTTACTTAAATCATGAATAAAAGCTTTTAATTTAAAACTTGCATTTCCAGGGAATTATTACTAATCATGTACAGTTCATATTCCCTTATGACTTATCACTTTACATACTCATTTGTCTTTATTATATAATTAGATTAAAAATTATAAATTACTACCTTAAACTTACAGCTTTTAATTAAATCTTAAAATAGGAGAGGTTTTAAATTATAATTCCCAAGTATTCTAACTTTTGCATTTGGACTAGGCTACAGGCTTTGACTATTCAGTTAAAAAATATCTAAAGTTCTTACTTTGGGTGATGATTGTCTCTCAATCAATTAATAGGTATTTTTTCAAAATAAGATGCAATGTTTTCCTGTAAGCAAGGCCGTTGATGAAGTGGGTTAACTGATGAATATTACACAGTTGGATTATTTTGTCTATTTTAACAGGGATTCCCCAGAAGAGGACAGGATACTTTATATATCCCTAGTAATCCCAAAACAGGGAAAAGGTTGAGACCTGCAAATTGCAGAGAGAATGATTCTGTTCAGTGTATTGCTCCAAAAGTTACTCAGATTTATACTAATACATCATAAGATCACCACATAGCAACTGCTTTCCTTGTCCTGTTCTGCTTTTCATCATTCTTTGTCTGGGATTTTTTTCTGGCAAAAAGTCTTCTGGGAGTGCTTCACTTTTTCTTACTCCTCTGCCATGGTCTTAGGGAAAGGCAAGGATAGAGCCCATTTCAGGACAATTTTGCAGTTGTAATCTGTTACTGCTGCAGTGTCTCTTCTATGTGGCTGTGGATGACAGTGACACTTTAATTATGCTCATGAGTTAACACAAAGCTGTCACCGACCAGCCTTGGTCAGAAAAATGTATGAATCTGGAGAACAGTTTGTTTTCCCCAAGTCCTTAGCATACCTAAAAGAAATTACATGTGCGTATAAATATATCTTGAAAACTTCTATAGCTCTTTTTTTCAGCTCTTTAAATCTCGTGTCATATTTCTTGTACTGTGTTCTGTGTCTCTCTATGTGCTACCTTCCTTATTAAGCCAGTCTATTTTTTCTTTGGTATAGTTCCTCTCTTATTTCTTCCAACTCTGTGGTGTAAAACCTTCAGCCTTGTATAAGCTCCAGTCCTGACTCTTTGGCGCCACGGGAGCTGTTGGGGGTCCCAGTTGACCGAGCTGCGGTAGGGCTGAGCGGTGATGCCTGGCAAGGGAAAGCCGAGCGACTGGACCCTGTGAGCAGGATGAGACCTGCCAGGCAGTGCAGGAACTGCTCTCTGCCATTTACCAGCTCTGAGAACTGGCTTTAAACCATAAAGGACTCCATTTATGAACTCTGTACTACAAATGAAGCTTTTTTTCTTATTTCTGTATTTGTCATGATATCTTATGCTGAAATACAGTAAACTGTTATGGCAACATGAAGTTCATGGCAAAGAGCAGTAATTTAAGATGATGACCCATACCCAGTGTTCGATTGCATGCCATTGCTTCTGCTCTGTAATGGAGCTAGAAAAAAATAGTAGGATATGCCTTTATTATAAAGTGAGTTTACAAGTGATTTCAGTTACCTCAGTGCATTGAACTTCTGATTGCATACACTGCAGTATGAGCGTGTGTGTGTGCATACAGCTGTATAGCTGTTTTCTGGTTACTGCTGCGTGCCGTAGTGCAGGGTAGGTTTGCTCTTTCCCAGCAAAATGTGTAACTCTACTTTGGAGGTGTTTCCTAACCTCATCCAAGAAGGGGAGGAAATTAGTCATGTTTCAAATATGAAAATCTCTTGCTTGAGTAATAAAATCTATTCTACATGTTGCTTTAGGCATAAATCTGGCTAAATGGCTGGAAAATGTTAGCTAAGTGTCTAGTCTCAAGCTTGTAACTGCCAGTGGGGAACTGCAGAGATAACATTATTACCATGTGGATCCGCAGCCGTCTGTGTTGCCCCTCGGGCTGCAGCTCATGCAGAGAGCGCAGATGCCGAATCAGATGGCAGGAATGGGGCGGCTGAAGGCTGCAAAGGGCATCACTGTCCTCCTCGCCAGTGAGAAGCTCCTGGAAGCCGGTGCGTGCCACAAGAGCTG